TTTTTTGTTTTTATCTTAACTGTTTTATTTATTTGTTCTATACAGCACTTTGGTCAGCTGTGGTTGTTTTTATAAGGGCTTAACAAATAAAGGTAATGAAAAAGTCTTCATATCATTCAGAAAGATTCATTCTGTAACTGATTTCAAATCAGATTTGTAATTAGATGTTTATTCTGCATCATTGGTTTGTTTACCAAATAGATGCTTTTTGAATTAAAAGAAGCTGGAGAAATTTGTGTTAGTGATAAAGGAATGTATTTTGTTAAATAAATTTTTATTTAGCTGCTGTAGTGCATTTGATGTCAGGAGACACCGAGAAAGACACCAGAAGCTGCGAGCCTTAGGAGCATCAGTCTTTTGATCGGCACATAGGAATTTTATTTAGATAAGAAGTTAAGAATTCGTTTTTTTTTTGTTTGCACATTTCTTAAGTTCACTAAAGGAAAAACATCAACCTAACATTTCTGGTGTGTCGCGACTGAAAGAACTTCGAGGTTAAAAGCTAGTGAGTCCCCTGCACTCAATTAGTGAAGATGAGTGTTTTTGCTTGACGAAGAAACAAAGAAATCAAAGAAAGATCTGGAAAGTGTGGCGTACATTTGTATTCGGGCTCCTAATTAAAGTATTTCTTTTTTCTCTTGTGTAGGTGAAGCCCTGACTTCTGTCCCACTTCTGGAGCTCCTAGATTTATCCTGGAACAGCAGTGTTGGTGGCGGCTCTTTGCAAGGCCTGCTGGGTAGGCTCCCTCCATCGCTGCGTGAGCTCCACCTGGTGGCCTGTCAGCTCACTGCACTCGATGCTGCTGCTCTGGGTGATTACATCATTGTTGGGCCGTGTGGATTCCTGTCAGTGGCTTTGGTTTAATGGATTTATCTCTGACTGTGTTTGGTTTCCCTTCCAGGGGAGTTGATGGCTATTCTGCCAAAAATCTGTGTGTTGGACGTCTCCTGTAACCCTGAGTTCACACAGGAAGCGGAGGGCGGTGGCTTCGGGGAGCTGGCCTCTTCCCTATCTCACACCGTTTCCCTGACAACGCTGCGGCTGCAGGCCTGTGGGCTGACAGCGGACAGCCTCTATGCTCTGGGTGGGTAAACCAAGATCATTACATATCTGATCATTACATAGTTTCTCATACGAGTAAATCATTTTTTTTTACCTTCTTGCTGTTGTTGAAGGAAGGACTTTATTTGTCGTCTTAAACTGGCTGATGATTCATCAGTGAAAAACCAGCAGATTGTTTGTCCTGCAGGTAATTCCCTCCGCTGTCTCCCCTCTCTACGTGAGCTGGACCTTTCCCGTAACAGAGGCCTGGTTGGAGGCCTGGACCGGCTCACCTTTCACCTGCCTCACATCACACACCTGGAGAGCCTCGACCTGCACCTCTGCTGCCTCCGGCACGCTGACCTTGATGCTTTACGTGAGTCACTGCGGATGTTGTGCCGCTGACACCCAGCAGGTACCTGCAGCCAGCGCTCACTTCCCTTCATCTCTCCAGTCCAGGCGCTGCCCTCTCTGACCGCGCTGTCGGAGCTCAACCTTTCGTCCAATAAGGTGGTGGGAGGCGGGGTCCACGAGCTGGTGTCTGTGCTCCCACTGAGTCAGATGAGGAGGCTGCCGCTCAACAACTGCAAGCTGAATGAGGAGTCCTTCACTGCCCTGTGTAAACGCAAACACTGAGGAGGATTATTGCTTATCGTTATTACTACTTAGCAGAACACTGACTTTAACCCAATTAGAGAAAAATACGATTTTTTACTTTATTTAAAACAAATCTTTCCCCATCTCCTAGAACTTTTTTTTTTTTTACAAATAAAAAAAACCCCATTAAATTAGCAAAAAAAAAAAAAATTTATTAAAAACAGACTGAGCTTCACAGCTACTTTTGATTTCTCATCTTTCCTGAACAGCCCACAGGTTTTCTGTAAAACTGAAATCGATGAGCTTAGACGGTCATTAAACAATGTTGGCTCCAAGTCTCTTTCCAAAGTTTCAGTTTTATTTGGTCAAATATTTCTTATCTAGTGCTGGATGATATACCTTACAAATCTAAACTCCATTGCCTTTCCTACCAAATCAGGTTAATAGATCATTTATTTATGTTGTCTCACCTAAGTCTCAGAGACCAAAGACCTCAGGCAAGCAATACATTTAAAGGAATAGTACACCCAAAACATGATTAGCCTTCATTTTCTACTCACCCCCATGCTGAACAACACTCTGGAGTACTTTTTTGATATCTCAAATGCATCTGGAGATCTGGGAGGCTTCTTGCTGTCTGCTGACATTCAAATAATGGAGGTCTATGGCGCCCGAGACATAAAGGTCCATAAAAGTCCACAAAAAACGTGTCAATATTCCTCCATACTGCTCGTCCAATGTATTCCAAGTGTCCTGAGTGGGTAGCATCCAGTGTATAGGATTTCCTGAAAGCGCGCACATGCGCGTTCAAGAGTCTACGGAAGCCGCCAGACCAAACCAGATGAAAGTGCGCATTCAGCTCGGCAAAGAACTCATGCTCTTCCTAAACACTGAAGTCCTCAGACATTTTTCTTTCGTTGTTTCTTTCTTTGCACAGGTAAACAGCACATTTCTTCTTCTACGCTTGCATTATCGGCAGAGCAGACGCTGAATGCGCACTTTCATCTGATTTGGTCTGCCAGCTTCCATAGCGTCGTGAAGACGCTTTTAGGAAATCCTATACACTACTGTTTATGCTCTAAAAACATTCTAAATGACTTCGTTTCGAGTAAATTCTGGATGCTACCCACTCAGGACACTTGGAATACATTGGAAGAGCAGTATGGAGGAATATTGACACGTTTTTTGTGGACTTTTATGGACCTTTCTGTCTCGGGCGCCATAGACCTCCATTATTTGAATGTCAGCAGACAGCAAGAAGCCTCCCAGATCTCCAGATGCATTTGAGATATCAAAAAAGTACTCCAGAGTGTTGTTCAGCATGGGGGTGAGTAGAAAATGAAGGCTAATCATGTTTTGGGTGTACTATTCCTTTAAAGCTAAAACTCACACATGATCTGGTTCACAGAGGCACGGTGTGGCTGCAGCCTCTGGGGTCTGCTCTGCTCTCTCCCTCATTCACTCCGCTTCCTTCTTAGATCAGCAGATCACCTTTTCTAGTGTTTTTGTATTCTTATCTACTTGTTTTTTTTTTTTGTTTTTTTTTCACTGCAGTTTTTCAGACATTAGACTGACAGGAGAGGGGGTATGAGAGGGGGGGAGAGACACGCCAAAGGACCACAGGTTGGATACGAACCCGGGTCGGCCGCGTCGAGGACTAACATTGTGCACACTAACCACAATGCAACCAAACCCCATCCGTACTTTTTAACTCTAATCAGCTATGAGAAGGCATCAAAAAAGAGAAAGTGATGAACTGAACCGAAGGACAAGTAGAAAAATTCTCAAATCTGTTTTTGCTGAATGCATCAGCAGTAAATATACAGAAAATCACTTCAACAGGAAACTAAACAATCCCAGCATCCCAAAACAATCAGGTGACTAGATTGCTTTTAAGACCTCACTATATTAATTAACACATTAGTTCAATTACTGGGCTAAATATCTATGCTTAGCTGGTCAAAACATAGCAATTACACGTTAAATAGACCAAAACATGTAAATAATGCAACTTCTCTTTCTTTGGTCTACATGTTATAGAATATAAGTGCTAGCGATAGATGAAAAGTGAAGCACCTTTAACTGTCTTAAATTTCATAGTCATTTCCTTCTGACTTTTTTACAGCCATCTGTTTGTGCTCCTTGGAGCTCCTCGTGGCTTCGCAGCGTAGTGGACTGAGTGTAAATCAGAAGGGCAGAGAAGTTTGCCGCAGGGTGGGGAATTAAGTAAAGTGATTTTTTTTATTTTTTAATACCAAATACTTTTATTTAAAATATCCTGGTGTTGCATAAATCATAATGCTTTATTATCCACCAAAGTTCTCTGTGTATTCAAAAGATGAGCAGACCCTCAGCATCATACAGCCTTATCCATGCTTAACAGTGCCCAGGAAGTGATGTTTTTTTCCCTTAAATGTTTAGTTTTTCCTGCCCAGACATACTTGGATAAACTTAATCATATTAGTCAATTAAAGCACATAATTCCAGTTAAAGTTCCAGCAGAGTTTAATAATCTACAGGTTTGCGCTGGTCGGACAGAGAACACTGTTTACTGACATCCATGTAAATATTGGCGTATATTTATATACATCATCCTCTCTGTGGGAGTGCTGCTGATCAGTTTTACATTTTAATGTTGATTAGAGTATAAATGTATTTCCTACGTGCATTTATCTCGCTGGATTATTGTGGTTTATTATCTTTATGACATAGGCCTCTATGTCACAATATATATTTACCTCCCTTAGACAGAAAGCCGTGGATCATCAAGGAAAAGCTCCTACAGGCTGAATATGTTGAAAATAGAGAGTATATATGAGAGAAATGTCATCACCTGTATTCATTTCACAGGAACCTTAGATTTTCTTGTTTTCTGCTGAATGTTTGTGGTTTCACTCGGTGATGTTGTCGTTTTTCAGCTCTGGTGGTGCCATACCTTCGCAGCGTGGATGTTTCCTGGTGTAAAGTGGTGGGCGGTCGCCTGCCGTTGTTGCTGGATGCTCTGCAGCCGTCTGTCATCTTGGAGCTGCGCCTCAGCAGCTGCAGCCTCACCACTGATGACCTGCGTCACCTAGGTGACCCATTAACTTCTCAGAAATCAATTTAGTGTCTTTGATTGAATGGAAGACCGTATTATTTAGTAACTAATGATGTTCCCCTGTTCAGCTGACGTCTGCAGACGGGGCAGCGTCTCCTCCCTCAGAGTCCTGGACCTGTCCTACAACAGCTCGGTTGGAGACGCCGGCTGGGCGGCGCTCTTCGCAGCAGGAGGTTTGGGTTCGCTGGAGGAGGCAGACATCAGCCTTCGACCCATGACCTCTGCTCCCTGCTCGGCCTGGCTGCCCGCGCTGCTTGGTTCTCTGCCTCGAATGCCGGCCCTGGCTCGGCTGGCGATGCAGCGCTGGACGGTCGGTTCACAGGAGGGGCGACAGCTGCAGTACAGCGTGAAGAACAGAAACATCCAACTGGAGTGGGATCCAGAGGTCACAGACGGGAAGACGAGCGGTCAGGAGGAGAGTCAGCCTGAGGAGTAATTGGTGTTTTTGGAACACAAAGATTTCAACAAACTCTAAATTTAGTCTGAAACAAACAGAACTCTCCGCCACCAGGAAGGTATAAGCCGTTCATTATTGTCCAAAATATTATGACTTTTATAAAACATTTCATAGTGTGATACGTAAAGTGACTGATGCACATTTAATAAGCACAAATATTTTAACAACTTGAAAAGAAACTTGATTATGTAGCAGAAAAAAGTAAATTGGTGTGTTGAACATATTTAATGACTTTTATTCCAGCCTTATGTCTGGACACTTTTACATGGAAATATTACATTTGCACATCCTAATAAAACATTTCACTGTAACATGTGTTTGATCATGAGCATAGCAGCAGATCAACAAACTAATAGTCAATGTTGGTCTTCTGGAGCCCCATCGGACGCGCTGCCGACTGTAGCATCTGTAACGTTACCATCTGCTTGATAAAGGCTTTTCCTCAAACCATGAAAGGCCTCAGCCAGGAAGACGTGACCGTCCTGCTCGTAAGACTCGACGTCGGTGTTCTGGGGGGGCAGACGCCCGCTGGAGATCAGCTCTCTGAAGGCCTGGGGTTATAGAAGGCATAGAAATAAACAAACCACCTTTAAATGAACAAAACAATTGCTCACAGTAAACTTATACCAAGCATGGATTATTTCTGCTTCCATCTTAGTTCAATGCACAGCATCAGACTTTGACAGGTTATGGTGAAAACCGTTTCCACAGGTTCCCGTTCTACAGTGGATCAGAAAGGCCAAAGTCCAGCCTTCCATATTTGGAACGTCTGCATGCATCCCCTTTTAAACACCCCAGATGAAAGGCTCGTTAGCAGGCCTCTGTAGCCCATTGACATGCTGAGGGAGAGCAGCTGTTAGAGAAAAGATGCATCTAAAAGTACCTGTGAGGACTGGATCTTTGGCTCTTCTTCAGCAGCTGTTCAGTCTGCTGGGTCTCCATTTTAAATGGTGTTCTCCAAGGTTGTGTGCTTGGACCACCGTATATAACAATAGTAACTGTAAATTCAAACTTTATTCCGTTTAATGTTTATAAATATTTATTTCACGTCATGTGCGCCATCCAATGCAGATCATTGGCTCCATCCACATCAGAGATGGCAAAAGTACTCACTTTCCTTACTTGAGTAAAAGTACAGATACTTGTGTTAAAAAATACTCTGGTAAAAGTGGAAGTACTGATTAAACTTCTTTACTCAAGTAAAAGTAACAAAGTACAGGCTTGTAAATTTACTTAAAGTATAAAAGTAAAAGTAGAAACCACTTTTTTCATGCCGTTGCCTACATTTAAAATGGATGTCTGCCAATAGGACTAGATCTCCGTTGTGTTCATTTTCAATCATCTCGTCGTCCATGCTACTATGCTAACGCCACCGCCACCAAGCTGCAATGATTTGCCGCCAATGAATACCGCCGAATCTGTCGATTCATCTTGTAGTGGTGCGTCAAATGCAACGTAGATTCCCATCCAATTAGATTGAATTTGGTATTGATGACGTGAAAAATAATAACGGTAACTCCATTGAAATGATTCAAAACTAAAGTAACGAGCCAATTTTTTAAAATGTAAGGAGTAGAAAGTACAGATATTTGTGTAAAAATGTAAGGAGTAGAAGTAAAAAGTCGCCATAAAAATAAGTAGTAAAGTAAAAATATCAGAAAAATCTACTTGAGTACAGTAACGAAGTATTTGTACTTCATTACTTCCCATCTCTGCTCATTGGTTAGCTAAAGGAAATCATCAGAAGCAGCAGGTGTTCTTCAAACTGCTAACGTGAATTGTCTATGCCATGCTACAATGTAGGATTCAGAAAAAGATGTTGAAATGTCTAAAAGGTCGGCGAGAGCGTATCGGGAGATGGAGACCAACAAGACCTCCCTCATCCTTGGCCCTATCTCATTAATTATTCAAAATAGCTGAATTGAGCTTTCAATTCATATAGTGGCATCTGGTTGTTTTTTTTTTAAAGGTTACTTTATACTTTTATTAGTTTTCCGAGCACATGCGTTTTCACTTTTACTTCAGTAAAGAGGTCAAGTTGATACATTAACTTCTACCAGATTCCGTAAAAGTTCATGCAAATAGAAACCGATGAGGGGGTCGTTTGGTTCCATTGTTAGCCTGTAATATCTGAAACCTGTCTATGATTCTGAAGGGCGGTCGTTAATGCGGGGGATTGTCTAACGACCGACCTTCAGAATCATAGACAGGTTCAGATATTACAGTCTAACAATGGAACCAAACGACCCACTCATCGGTTTCTATTTGCTTGTTTCCAAGCAATACAACGCCTTGTCTATATAAGACTCAAACTCACTGCGGATCCAGACTTTTGAATTGAGAAAGCTTCCTGGAGAGGTGGCGAAACGTCTTCAAATCTTGGAAACTAAGTCCAGTGGATTTTGTTGAACTTTTACGGAATGACTATGACCTGGATGACTGAGGATCTTCATCAGCATATTCTACCAGATTGTTTTTAAACTGCAGTATCTATACTATAATTCTACTTAAGCAACAAATGTGTGTACTTTTGACACCACTGGCCCTAGTACTGTTCCAATTCACAAGAACAGCTGACAGAGAACGGACAAAGTCCCCGGATGTTGTTCTTGCCGCTTCCTCTTTACCCAGCATGCATCAGAGCAGACTTGTCCTTTGTTGAGATTGACAGCTGTCCCAGCATGCACTGCGGCAGCAGCAGCTTTCAATGGAGCGCTCACAGAGCTCAGCCCTCTCTCGGCAAGGCGATGTGTGAAGGACCGCTGGCTATGATGGTGATTTTTTTTATCTGGCAAAATATTGATTTGATTTGTGTTTATCTGACTGTGTTCATTATTATTCCCCCACTCTATGAAAAAAGTCAGAATTTATGATTATCTAGAGACTATTAATAACAGTTGGTGAAATGCATTTCCAGACATGCAGAGCGCGTGTTTGGTGACGTCACGAGTTATCATTTGTTCCAATTGACCCATATTTATGCTGCGTGCTCCCGTTCTCCCCCAGTCCAGACCTTCCTGTGTTCTTCTCAAGAACATACTTGGCGAGGACACGAGTCCATACCTGCGTTCTTTGGAACGCTTGGAAACGGCCTGTAATCAATCATCATAGAAACATCCCCTCTGAGGAAAGACTTTTACTTGACAACACAAAAAAAAATTTAAAACACACACTACTTTTTTTTTCTTTAAATAATAAAAAATATCTAGTCTTCCTGTAAAAACATAAGTCCAGCTGTTTTTTTTAGGGGGGCGGGGGGTTGTACAAGGAGCAAAAATAACTGCAGTATTACCCGTGTTGTCATTTAGAGCAGAACTGACCGCTCTAGGTGCTGTATATCATAGCGAGATGAATATTTATACATTTCAGCAGCAAGGCAACTCAAAGTGCTGTACTGCATAGGAAACACAGAGAAAGGAACATTCTAGGCACATCAAAGAATAATGAAATGGCTGATTGGGAAAGAAAGTGGGATATAAATCTGAACTAATATTGTTCAGATAAGACAGTCAAAGGCCGCTCTAACCGGATTAAAAGCAACTGAGGGTTTCAGTGTTTTTACAGTTTTCTTAGAGTTCCTTTCCAGATTAGTGGCGCATGAGAACTAAATGCTGCCTGTCCATGCTAGGTTCTGGTTCTGCAGAGTAGATCTAACCCAGTAGACCTGAGAGGTCTGGCTGTTGACCCACTGACAATAGTCCATAACGTATTTTGGATCAAAGACATTCAGTGATTTGCAGACAAGTTCCTTTCTACCTCATCCTCCTTTTCTTTGTGTTTTTCTCTGATTTCTCTTATTTGTTTTAACCATAATGTTTCCATTTCAGCACCTATAGACATTAGTATTTCTGTTTTATTGGCTTTTAAAGGAATGGAATACTGAAGGAAATGTATAAAATGACAGTTTGCGTTACTGAGGTTTTTTACCCGGCAGGCTGGCTCCTTTGGGTGGTTTCCCCAAATATAGAGGTGTGTCAGAGTGGGGTTGTTTTTCAGAGCCTGAGCCAAGGAGCACAGACCTTGAGTCCTGATGTTGTTTGTGCAGACAGATAACCTGGAAAACAGACAGATTCATTACTACCAGACTGTCAGGGGGAAAACTAAGCATCTTTATTAGTGAGTCTGAACACTGGTAGTGGGTGAGGAAGGAGCAAAAAGTAAGGTTAATATGCGGTGGTTATATCTACCCTGAGCTCCACTGAAGCTGGACATCCTTTTTACAAACAATCACTGTAATTCTGTTTCACTTCATCCACAGCATGAAATGTTTCCAGATTGAGGGATTTTTAGGATGTAGTGTGGGCCTTCATGTGTGCAACAAGCTGAACATGGAGGAAACATATAAACTAAACAACCAGAGTTTAGTCTGACTTCTGATCCCAGGAAATATAGAAACTCTACAACCAAACAGATGGATTTTCTATAAACATCTTCAGGATGCAAGTCCAGCTTTCCAGAAATTTTTTTTAAAATACGCAAAGAAAAATGAAATCAATGTTGAGATCAGTGGCGGCTGGTGAAAAATATTTTTGGTGGGGCTGATATAGCCTAGTGTATGTCTCCAACTAATCCGGAATAAGAATTCGATTAAACAATTGGACAATACATACAATTTAACAGTAATGATTTAATTTACTATATAATAACAGTAACAGTGATGATTTGGGTCACTGTGACGGAGTTCTTTGGCCTCCAAGAATCCAGGCTCAGTCTGGTTACCGGTGTTGGTGATTTATTGAGCTCAAAAAATCAAAACAGGGTGCAAAAGAAACTAAACATGTACAAGATACTCTGGGCCTCAGCCTCCCTCCAGTTACCAGCAACGTAACAAAGAAACAGAAAACAAAAATTGCCGCTTTTCTTCCCACAGCCCTCATTAAATAGTTTAAGCCCCTCACCTCAGGCTCTGTTATTTCTGATTTCTTCTCATTAATCAGTTTTGTCCATATATTACCTCCACAAACAATTGATGTACAAAAACAAATAATTTTTACAACTTAATTCTTTTACACAGATTCATTGACTTATTCAATTACACCAAACTGGGTTTGAACCCAGCAAAGACGCCGCCAGACTGAAGATGACAAGTCCCCGTAGCATAAACACGTACACACACACACACACCCACACCCCCCACATACCACACACACACACGGCTAACCCCACTGAAATATTAAGTGTGCACCCTCAATACGCCAGCAGGTAACCAGGAACAGCTTGTGTGTTTTAAGTTCATGGAGCTAGTGATGGGCTATCTGAAGCCAGGCTTCGAGGCTTGTACCGAGTAATAAGGGGGCGTGTCAATGAAGCCCCGCTTCGAGGCCTGTGTTGTCTTGTTGAAAACCACGTGACTGGCAACAAACGAGGCCTCGCATTGCATTGGTCACGTGACTGCTTCATTTTGCGTGTCGGTATTCAAAATAAAAGCGCGATGAATCCTGTTGCTTCGTGGGTTGTAGTAGGTGGTTTGGTATCAGCAGAACAGTTTTCATCAGCAGTGGTTGAAATGGAGCCGTCAAAAAAGAGAAAAACCTCTCATATGTGGGAGTATTATGAGATGACAGATCACAACCTGAAACAGTGAAAAAAGTCCTATTCCTAAATAAAAACAATTAAACCTAAAATCCAGAAATTTCTATATTTTCTTTTGTTTAATCAGGAGATGCATCAGAATCACACATCAAAACCAGACTAAAAGCCATTAGAAGAGGCAAACTCTATGTGTAACTTAATATTAAGAATCAGAACTAGAACTCCTAGGAAGAGATGATTTTAAACACATTCTGTCTTTAAGGAAGCAAGTTTCAAGCTCAAAGTACACAGAGTCTCAGTTCTCAATACATTAAAGTAACACATCTTCATTGTCTAATAAGTCCATGACATAAAAGAAAACCTAACACCACCACTGATGGTCAAGGATTAGATTGGCTACAAATCATTTTAATAATTAAAACATGACAATTGAATAGGATTCTCCTCTTACTAAACATGAGTTTGGTGAAAACTTTGTGACAATATTGCATTTCCTAATATTTGGAAGTATGATCCAACTGAGTTACAAGGCTGTTACAGTTTCACCAGCAGATGTCACTAGTGAGTGATGAATGAAGCATCGAGTAATGAACTTTTTTTAACACTTTGCGTTGGAAAGCTTCATTGCTTCATGAGGCTTCACTTGCACATCACTACATGGAGCTACTGGTCTCAGCGCGAGTGAATTGGTCCTCACAAACACAGTATAACAGGAATGTGTGTGTGGCGCGCAAAGTTAGAGGATGTTTTAAGCGACGAGGTGGATTCGTCACAGTCACAATAACCATGACCATCCTACAACAGGGATGTTCTTCTGGCAAACGGGTAGATAAATAAGGATCTCACCGAATTTGGTGGAAGCTGCATCTTGGTCGTTACGTTCGCCATCTTCCCTCTAATTGTCTGCACCTGCGCTTGGGTTCAGAAGCCTGTAAAAGTGCAGTATTTTCAGCGCCCCAATACCATAAAGTTCCGAGATGCTGATTGGCCATTAAATTCACCTAGCAAAAGTACATGATTGACAGATTCTCTGCAAATGTGGGTCAGTCTGATCAGCGCCCCCAGAACAGAGACGGTAGGAGTCTGTCTGTGGAAATCCACAAATGAATGACAGTAGATAGCGAAATGTTGTTTATATAATTTGTTTTGCTTATAGGTACACAGTCTAGAGAGTAAAACTGACATTTATGAGTTAATTTCTAAAAATATATTTTACGTTTCTCTCTTCTTATCAGGGAGGGCGGTGCCCCAGCGCCCCCTATGGGCCGGCCGCCACTGGTTGAGATGCAGGACTAGATGTGGACTCACTCTCTTAGGACACATCCTGGCCTGGAGATGGCGTCGCTCAGGTAACCCGCGCCGACGTCCTCGATGCAGTTGATGGACAGATTCAGGATCTCGATGGCCGTTTTCTCTTTCAGCACCGAGGCGAGGTACAGAGCACCATCATGGGAAACACGGTTACTGCACAGATCACAGGAGGAGGTGGGATTCAGGATCCTGCTCCATCTTTTCTTGTTGCATGCAGGAAACCAGATGGTTTAATTCAGAAAAAGTTGAGTTTTGCTACTTTTCTGCTATTAGAAAACAAAATTCAGATAGTTTTCATAATAAAACTCGGCAGTATGGAGAAATCGGTACAAAATCGGCTGACAGGGAAGGGGGTATGGGAGAGGGGGAGAGAGCAAAGTACCACATGTCTGATTCAAACCCTGGTCAGCCACGTCGAGGACTAAGGCACATGGATCGTGCACGCTAACCAATGTGCAACCTGCACGTACAGTAAAACAATATTCCTAAACAAATGTTTGTAATGCAGAGAAAAACTTTTATTGCATGTATGAAATAGTAAAAAAATACACATTTTATGTGCATATGCATTTAATGATATGTATCCAATACAAAGACTTTTAATCATAAATGGAAAATATTTATATTCTTTGTAGAGTGTTGTTGGAATAATTATGTATAAGATAGTTAATGTTTGTTCTTATGATGTATAATGTGTGACATATTACTGTTCCAGAGAGGTGTTGCACAAGCAGTATAGGTCAACTATCAGGAAGTATTGCTCAGGCTTAAAGGAATAGTACACCCAAAACATGATTAGCCTTCATTTTCTACTCACCCCCATGCTGAACAACACTCTGGAGTACTTTTTTGATATCTCAAATGCATCTGGAGATCTGGGAGGCTTCTTGCTGTCTGCTGACATTCAAATAATGGAGGTCTATGGCGCCCGAGACAGAAAGGTCCATAAAAGTCCACAAAAAACGTGTCAATATTCCTCCATACTGCTCGTCCAATGTATTCCAAGTGTCCTGAGTGGGTAGCATCCAGAATTTACTCGAAACAAAGTCATTTCGAATGTTTTTAGAGCATAAACAGTAGTGTATAGGATTTCCTGAAAGCGCGCACATGCGCGATCACGACGCTACGGAAACCGCGGCAGACTAAACCAGCGCATTCAGCTCGGCAAAGAACTCATGCTCTTCCTCAACACTGAAGTCCTCAGACATTTTTCTTTCGTTGTTTCTTTCTTTGCACAGGTAAACAGCACATTTCTTCTTCTACGCTTGCATTATCGGCAGAGCAGACGCTGAATGCGCACTTTCATCTGGTTTGGTCTGCCGGCTTCCGTAGAATCGTGAACGCGCTTTCAGGAAATCCTATACACTACTGTTTATGCTCTAAAAACATTCTAAATGACTTCGTTTCGAGTAAATTCTGGATGCTACCCACTCAGGACACTTGGAATACATTGGACGAGCAGTATGGAGGAATATTGACACGTTTTTTGTGGACTTTTATGGACCTTTCTGTCTCGGGCGCCATAGACCTCCATTATTTGAATGTCAGCAGACAGCAAGAAGCCTCCCAGATCTCCAGATGCATTTGAGATATCAAAAAAGTACTCCAGAGTGTTGTTCAGCATGGGGGTGAGTAGAAAATGAAGGCTAATCATGTTTTGGGTGTACTATTCCTTTAACAAAACCAGGAGGTTCTCAGGCCATTTGACTGCAAGACATTTAAATGCAAATTAACCTATTCACTGAGGCTGCAAATTGAATTGTATTTCTTGTTTCCTATTCCTTTAGCGCAACCTCAGCTTGTGTAACTAGGGACCCCCCCTCTGACTTTAATAAATAGCAAGGACAAAGCTGAAGACCGGCAGAGTGGGGTGGAGATGTACCTGCATGTCTCTTCCTACTCTCCTCGCAAGTAAAAAGAATTCTGACTGTGTGCCTTTCTTTCCTTGTTTTACAGCATTTTAGGTGTTACAGTAGACCTGACAAGTGTTGTCTGAATTGCTGCTGAAAATAGGTTCAGGAAAGGGCAGATTTTAGAGTCTGTGTACCATTACTTCAGCTAATGATTAGAATACCATTTTAGTTGACAATTATTTTAATAATCGATAAATGAGGATTTATTCTTTCAGCCCTAATGCTTCTCACTGTAATATTTAACGAATCACCGATGGGAATAGTAGTGAGTCACACTGAATGATTAAAACAATTCAGGACGATGAGACGATAAATAAAGAGATAAAAGTGCAAAGATGTCTGCCCTCACACACAAAGCCTGCTTAATACAGCTATTATTTAGTATTATTATAATCATTATCATAGTACTTGTAAGGGAATCCTGAGATGAGCCAACATACCATTTTTTGAGACATGCATGTGCATCACAAATACATGCAGACCTTTGTCATGAAAATGCTTTCCATTAGATTAGATTGGAAATCATTTCCTGGATTCAAATTGTGAATCGATACATGTGAACAATAGGAAAGTATGGAACCTCTCAGGGTGAACTATTTTCACCCTTTGTTTTACATTTGTTAATGATTTTAGAGTCTGTGACGTTTGGATTTAATGAACTCAACTGAGCCTCCCCTGTTTCAAAGAACCACTGTCACAATGGTAGCAGAAATAAATGGAATCTGACTGTAACAATGAGTCATCATTACCTGTATACTGGCTAAAATAACAGTTAAACGCAGCATCTAGTTTTGTAGCTTGGTTTATTTTTGTGGTTTTGGGTGCAGTGGGTATATGGGGTGTGGTTCTTTGGTAGGCCACATCTTGTTTCCTTTTTTTTTAAAAAGGTAAATTGATTTCACTTTACAACATTTTGTTTTTGCTTAACCTAAAAGGGAAACGCATGGATTGAAAAGTTTGAAGTCATGTATGGTGTTTTCTACATTAAGTTTTGATTATTTATAGAAAAAATGAAAGACTTGTTAGCTGAAAACTCTTAAGGCTGGATCTATCAAAGGTTTGCGTGTATAAAAACGTGAGCTATTTCACTGCGCACGCTAAAAAATGTACAAACTGATCTATCAACAGCGCGCTAAAAGGATTTGGTCTTTAAAACGTGCTAAATAGCGCCTCTTATCCATTTAGTACTTTTTCTGCAATGAATATGCAATATGGGGCGTTTACACGCAAAAGTGCGTCTTGTGGGAGGAGAACATGTAAATATATTAATTTAGCACTCGCAAAGTGATTTATTAAACCTGAAAGCAATTTTGCTAACGGTATCTGACTCTATATTTAACACGTTTCAAAAGAAGGTGCAAATGGTCTGTATGCGTAATTGCGCACACATGGCAGCGGTTATTGTCGCAAGAAGGAGACATGGAAATGAAGCAAGGAGACGCAGAGAACGCATTTTTTCACACCGTGTGAATATTTTTGGAATGAACAAGGAAACGATCATCAAAACATCGTTTATCCAGCATTGCCATTTTGGAGCTGTTGGGGGAACTCCGAATAGATTTGGAGCCAGCCACAAGGAGGACCCACGCAATACCAGATATCACAAAACTCCTTGCAGCATTGCACTTTTTTTCATCTGGGATCTCCCAATCTCGTTTTTCAGAAGTGCTGTCCGACGTTCTAAATGCCATGTCGCCCTGACGCCCTACCGGAGAACCCCGACCTCCCCCCTGCGCATGTGGAGCAACATGCCAATGCTGCGGGGATGCGTACGCGCAGTAATCTCATCCACAGTCACTTCTTGTGAGCCATTTGGTATGTGCATTTTTCTACAGGCCAATACAAAACACCTGTTTTTTTTTTACTGCAGTGAAGTAGAAATTCAGCCACATACCACCTTAGGGAATAAAGGTTGCCAAAGTTTATATGGTTATATATATATATATATATATATATATATATATATATATATATATATATATATATATATATATATATATATATATATATTTTTTTTTTTTTTTTGGAGGGGTTGTCACTGTAAGATTAAAATTTCTTAATGCACTAGTTTGTACAAACTACTTTGCCGCAAACCACAAAACGTGCAAAACCATCATTTAAATAGGGTGTCTCCAACAGTTTTGCACCTGCCACCAGTTACGCAATCACTCTTGTTAAATCACCTGCAAACCATGGTTCAGCCCCTCGCGCAAAATTCCAGTTTGCGAGCGCAAATTACTGCACGCAAAATTGGATCTTGATAAATCCGGCCCTTAGAAACATGTTCTTCTTTTAACTGGTTTGGGTCCCACCTCCAAGACTACTTGGCCTCCTGACGAACACGTGACACTGACAAAAGTAGTAATAAATAAAAATTCTATGAAAATGAACAAATCAAAGTAAGACATTGATTTTTAATCACACTTCAACAGAATGATTAAAATCACTGCAATCAACCCATTCCTGTAACTGTCAGTGTGACTTCTGCTCCTCTCAGCAGGTATTCTGTGTCTCAGGTTTAAAGGCTGCCTTTTTCAGCAGCGTTTTTCAGTCCAGTGTCTTTGCCCTTTTTGGCTAAGAGGAAACTTTCTAGCTGTGTGTTTTGTCTCATGACCCTGTTGAAGACCCATGACCTGCGACTGAGAGCAAGCTTTATGAAACTGGGTAGAATCCCTCAGAGGTCTGGAGATTTCATTGGACCGTGCAGAGACTAAATAACCTTGTACCAGATAAAGCAAAGGAGTCCCAGAGCATAACAGAGCCTCCTCCATGTTTCACAGTAGGGACAGTGATCTTTTCTTGTCATGTTTCATTTTTCCTTGTGTAATCATAGAGCTGATTTTCAATTGCCTCATCCGTCTATAGGACTTCTACCATAAGCTTTGTGGCTGGTCAACACAGAGTTTAGTAAATTCCAGTCTGGCTCTTTTATGATTTGTTTTAAGCAATGCTTTTATCCTCCTTTGTCGTCCCCCATTAAGTCCACTGTGGCTCAAACAACAATGGATCTGACACTGATGACATTATTTTCGGCCTTTTCTAGGGATAACATCATTTTTGTTCAAGCCTGTTTCATGAATTTATTTTTAAAAATGAAAAAAAAAAAATCTAGTTGAAGCATGGGTGGAAATCAGTGTCTGACTTTCATTTGTTCATAATCATATAATTTTTATCTTTTTTTATCGTTTTTTTTTTTACTTTTGTCAGTTTCCAGTTAATTCTCTGACTGTTTTTGTTTTTTCTTTTTTAAGGGACACCAATAATTGTCCACTCCTTAGCGCCCCTCTGAATATTTACACTTTATACCCAACTGAGGCTGTTTGCATCATTTGTTTAGATGTGTAACAGTGTTGTATAAGGATAAAAAAAATGAATAAAGTTAATTTTTCAAATCATAAAAGCTCAAACTCAATGAGAAACATCAGGTTTGATGCTCTTTTAGTGTATATAATTATATTAGAGCCCTGTGTCATTTTAACGGGTACGTTTTAGTGCTTGGCCACGGCACACTTTAACACAACGTTTTTCTATTTTATTAGGTCTTTATTTTTAATAATTTTATCTTTATTTGCTTTATTTTATTTTTAGTTTTTTATACATCCTTAGTTTCGCATTAAACATTGTGTTGTGTGTTCTTTGTGTGCAGACAAGTTTTATACATGAGGCTCAGCGTCAAAGGACTAATATTTTTATTTTTTTTCATATTTTAGAGAATTCTACGGAGCCCCTCTGGTGACATGGTCAAAAAAAATGTTTAATTGTGGCCACGAAGTAGTATTTCGTGCGCACGAAGTAGTATTTCGCGGCCACGCAATAAGTATAACGTGCGCATGAAATACTATTCCGTGGCCACGCAATAAGTTTAACGTGCGCACGAAATACTTATTAATAATAGCCATAAATCCGCCCCTGTTTTCAGGCTAATGTTAACTGTAATGACTTATCTTGGACAGGCTGCTATGTAAACGGGCCTTTAGTCCTTCGTTTAGCTATGCTGCGGTTGTTTACACTACGCCTATTCCACCTAAAATAGCGTCTTAGCAACAAATGTCACGTGACTGGCGGAGACCGACTGGGTAAGCAAATCGAGCGCGCCTTAGACCTTAGAGAAGGCGCGCTCGATTTGCTTACCCAGTTGTCCAGGAATGATATTAATATTATTAATAAGTATTTCGTGCGCACGTTAAACTTATTGCGTGGCCACGGAATAGTATTTCGTGCGCACGATAAACTTATTGCGTGGCCACGAAGTAGTATTTCGTGCGCACGTTATACTTATTGCGTGGCCACGAAATACTACTTAGTGCGCACGAAATACTACTTCGTGGCCACAATTAAACATTTTTTTTGACCATGTCATCAGAGGGGCTCCGTAGAAGTCTAAAAAAAACTGAGTAGATATTTAACAAAGATACATACTCACCTCAAAATATCTTCGAAGATTAATTTAGGTCACTGAAAGCTTAAGATGTTCGATTCTAATGCTACGTTCACACAGCAGGAGCAGCAAAATCGCGTCTGCTGCTTCCTTTTTGCTGCTTGTACCAGTTAGTTCTGACGCGCGGCTGAAGCAGCTTTGCTGCTCTGGCTGCGCGGTGCAAAAGTGTGTCTGACACGCGTTGGGCGGAGCTACTCTATCCTTTCTCTGCCTTGCAGCTATATTTGCTGTGATCAGTGGGAATAAAGTAGTTTTAATATGTTTTTAAGTGAGAAAATACACCTGAAAACGTAATCAGTGCAGTCAGTTCATCCAGATTATCATCCTGCCTTACAATATTATTTCTGTCGGAGCCGCTCAGACCCCCACATACCTGCGGTGCAGCAGCCTCTGGCCGGGTCGCCTCCTTGCGGTTCACCACGGCAGCTGGAAGGTGGCTTTCATCTAAATAATCCAAACTGCAGGCACCAGGATAATAAAAGCGAACATATTCTGCTGGCAGATTTCGGCATTTTAAGTTAATTTAGGCGTCAATAAACTGTTTAAGAGGAGTGATCACAGCGCTCTGTGTCATCAGCGATGTGTCTCTCTCACGGCCAGCTCCCAGATCAGCTTCTCTGATTGGTTGACGCGGCGCGTCGAGCAGCAAAAATCCAATTTTTCCATCTCGAGCAGCAGCGCGTTTGCAGCACGTCACATGCGTCAGATGCTACAATACTCCTGACGCGCTGCTTCAGCTGCTCAAACGCGCTGCGCCTGCTGCTCAAAACGCGCTGCGGGACCTTTTGCTGCGCCTTGACGCGCGTTAACCATTGACTTTGCATGTAAACTCGCTGCTTCTGCTGCGCCTGCTGCGTCCGGTGTGAACGTAGCATAATCCTAATTCTCTGCCTCATTGTTGTCCGAACCTGATCAATGCTCCTGACCAAGCAATGAATCATGGGAAAAAGAAAGAGCTGCTTTTTTTTCCAAAGACCTCAGAACTAATAGGTTTCTCCTGAGAATGTCCTGAAATGAAGACTGAAATGAGAGCTTTAGACACAGACGACCACATGGCAGTGGTGGCTGCTCGCTGAAACAAGGGAGGCTAAATTATGTTAATTAAATCCAAACATCAGGTATTACATCAACAAATACTGAAACACATAAAAAACATCACTACAATGGGTGAAAATAGCTGTTGTGAAACGCTCTGCAATAATAAACTCCAGAAACGAACAGCCGAACAGCCAGCTCCATGACCCGCCCCCGCACCATAGATCCCCCTAAGAGGTTTAGCCTCACTGGAAGTGTCATATTTTGGCGTCTTATCCAATCAGAGCTCTACTTTCTCACTGCTTACCTCCTAAACCTCAGCAGGGGTTTCTCATAGCGGCTGACAGGCAGCGTCCTGCCGCTGTAGAGCAGAGGGGAGATTGCATCTGAGAGCTCAAAAAACAGCTGATTAATGCGCAACATACCCATGAAATCAGGTGCATTCTAGCTCATATTTATGATCTTTAATGACTACGTTTATGAGGTTTGACAATGCATATTTTGCCAATAATTTTACGAGATTTACAGGACAGCTCTAGCCTCCTAATATTTAAAAAGAAATTGCCACTGATAAAATGGAGTTCTGGCTTCTTCAAACACATTAAGGACTGGGTCAGCACTTTTTGCCCTCCCTACCAGCGCAGGTCCAGGTAGCGCAGGGTGTGGTTCCGCTTCAGGCCCTCTGCCAGCCTCTCCATGCCCGTGTCTGTTAAGCCCATCTTCCCCAGATGGAGCTCCACCAGGCTGGTGTTCACAGCAAACATCTTAGAAAAGTGTGTGGCCCACTCCTCCTGAAACAGAGTCACATCTGGGTTTCTGATGGTCTAAACCTGAACCTCCTGTCTGCTGCTTGGCAGGTTTGTACCTGGAGGCTCAATTGCAGTGGTCGACTCAGGTCAATAAGACGAAGAGTCTGGTTGTTTTCAATCGAGGTGCAAAAGGCAATCAGGCTTGAAATATCCTGCAGGTACAGAGCGAAGGTCAGAGGATGGGCTGATGAGAACAGACTGTGGGTCTCAGCCTTTGATTACCAGGTCACATTGGTCCAGATACAGCACCCGCAGGCTCCAGTTTACCGGCAGCATGTGGGCCAGGTGGAGGGCTCCAACTTCACCGACCTTATTCAGAGACAGCCTGAGGAAGACCAGGTTGCTGTTAGCCTGCAGACGCACAGGGAGGGATAATAGGTTTAAGCAGTTCAAATAAAGCATCTGGAAACTATTTTGTTTCATGATTTATTATCCTGCAGGGATTTATCATATTGTTGAAGGGAATTCATGGATTAATTGATTTTCATTAGAGTCCATTTCCCATTTAAAACATGAGCACAAAATTCCTCAATTAATTTATACAAAATGTTGATTGGCTTTAAATCTTGAACCCTGACAGAAGGAGAGCAAGAGTGTAAGGAGGGGCAATGAAGGTGAGGAGGAAAGGATGAAGGACACCAACTGGGATGGAGGGAAGTAAGGAAATATTTAAGGGTTTAATTTAGGAAGGAAGGAAGGAAGGAAGGAAGGAAGGAAGGAAGGAAGGAAGGAAGGAAGGAAGGAAGGAAGGAAGGAAGGAAGGAAGGAAGGAAGGAAGGATACCAACTGGGATGAAAGGAAGTAAGGAAATATTTAAGGGTTTAATTTTGGAAGGAAGGAAGGAAGGAAGGAAGGAAGGAAGGAAGGAAGGAAGGAAGGAAGGAAGGAAGGAAGGAAGGAAGGAAGGAAGGAAGGAAGGAAGGAAGGAAGGAAGGAAGGAAGGAAGGAAGGAAGGAAAGGGTGAAGGATACCAACTGGGATGAAAGGAAGTAAGGAAATATTTAAGGGTTTAATTTAGGAAGGAAGGAAGGAAGGAAGGAAGGAAGGAAGGAAGGAAGGAAGGAAGGAAGGAAGGAAGGAAGGAAGGAAGGAAGGAAGGAAGGAAGGAAGGAAGGAAGGAAGGAAGGAAGGAAATTAAGAAATAAAGAAAACAAGGATAGACAGTAGGGATGAGGAAGGGGACATTGAAGGAAAGGAAGAACGGAAGAAGAAAATAGATGTGTCCAAACGTCCGCCCTAACCACTAACCTCTAACCACTCTATCACTATATATCACTGGACCATATAGTGGAGTTTATAGTGAACTCAGTTAACTGACCACTCAGTCAGGTGATCAATACATTTTGCTCCCTGTTGGTCACGTTACTCCGCCTCCACGCATGGTTCTTGCATCATCCTTGAGCTCTCGCCAAAAAAACAAACACAATGATGCTTTGCTGAGGGAAATCTCTTGCAAGGTATTCTGGGAGGGGGGGGGGGGGTCTATCTGCTCGTCTAGTGACCATGGATGCACACTCCTTTTCAAGGTGCCACTAACCGTTTGGACACTCGTGTAAAATAGCGTAACTACTATATAGTGCCCTATAGCCGGACATTGAAACACAGCCAAAGAGAAAAAACACTCAAGAAATAAAGGAACACAAAATGTCTCAATGAGAGACAATAGATAAAAAGAAAGAACATGAGGAAAGAAAGAACAAGAAGAGGGACAGGAAACAAGGGAAAAACACAAGGAAGGACAGTAGGATAGTAGGATGGACACCATGGAGGGCAGGAGAGCAGGAAGGACAAAGACTGGATTAAAGGACACTAGAATGGAATAACACTAAGAAATAAAGCCAAACCTCAGAAAGCTAGGAAGACTGGTCCAGTATGAGGCAGAGATGTAATAAAGAAAGACTGAGAACAAACATTTAGACCTGGAGAACATTGAAAATAACTTTTCACATTTCCAGGTTGTTAACTGTATGTTTAGCTAGTGCTCAATGAGAACAGCATCATTAAACCCAGCACCCCCCAGTAATTAGGTCCACCACCTCAGCATGGAGGAGAGTGATCTGACTATTGGAGAACCTGACAGACCTTCAGGCAGATGGACAGGAGTTCAGCCCCCTTTGATCCAATGTTGTTAAACGTCAGGTCCAGATAGAGCAGAGCTGAATCCTGTTCACAAAAAACAACAACATTTATGGATCAAAAACCTGAAGACCCTGCTCCTCTAGAAACCAGACCTGGTTCATAACTGACCTCTTCCTGATTGCCTACCTCTAAAAGGTCAGCCAGGTGTCCAGCTCCTCTGTCACCTACATTATTATAACTCAAATCCAGAGCTGTTCAGATAAAAACGGTTAAAACAACATGTGGAGTTCAAGTTCTGTTGATCTAAACCTGGATGATCACCTGTAACAGTCCGGTTGCTATGTAGGCATTTTGACAGAGCAAAGACGTCATCGTCACAGAGTTTGTGACAGCCTCCCTGCTTGCTGTTACCGACTAGCTTCAGGCAGGGGCTCCTGTTACACAGAAAACCAGGACAGGATGGATAAAGAACTGGAGCCTCCTCTGATCCATTTATTTCTTCTTTTCCTCACATTAAAGCTTTTTGTCATCCTAGTTAATGTCTCTCCCTTCACCTCACTCAGCTTTGGATGGTTGAACATGATTACTGGTCCCAAACTCTTCCATCTTTAAATAAAATGTAAATCCCTTTTTATTTCCCACAATGGGGAAATCCTTTCTCTGCATTTAACCCATCTCCTTGGGGAGCAGTGGGCTGCCATTGTGTGGCGCCCAGGGAGCAGTGTGGTGTTAAAGGGGAACGCGTTTTTTTTTTTTTACATTGGTCCCTTGATTTTACGTTATTACATCATGTTCTACTCACCCATATGAGTTTTGTGTCATTTGGAGCCGTTCTGAAGATATTCTGTTAGGTTATAACCATGTAACGTCTTCCTGTGGGCAATGAGTTGAAGGCACAAACTAAACTGTTCATTATTTATTATTTATGGTACGCCAGCATTCAGAACATGTAGGCCAATCACTGTCCCCTTTATTCTGGTAAATTTAGGACTTTATTCTGGTCATTTTAAGGCTTTATTCTGGTAATTTTAAGGCTTTACTCTGGTAATTTTATGACTTTATTCTGGTAAATTTAGGACTTTATTCTGGTAATTTTAAGGCTTTATTCTGGTCATTTTAAGGCCTTATTCTGGTCATTTTAGGACTTTATTCTGGTAATTTTAAGGCTTATTCTGGTCATTTTAGGACTTTATTCTGGTAATTTTAGGACTTTATTCTGGTCATTTTAGGACTTTATTCTGGTCATTTTAGGACTTTATTCTGGTAATTTTAGAACTTTATTCTGGTAATTTTAAGGCTTATTCTGGTCATTTTAGGACTTTATTCTGGTAATTTTAGGGCTTTATTCTGGTAATTTTAGGGCTTTATTCTTGTAATTTTAGGACTTTATTCTGGTCATTTTAAGGCTTTATTCTGGTAAATTTAGGACTTTATTCTGGTCATTTTAAGGCTTTATTCTGGTAAATTTAGGACTTTATTCTGGAAATTTTAAGGCTTTATATTGGTCATTCTAAGGCTTTATTCTGGTAAATTTAGGACTTTATTCTGGTAATTTTAAGGCTTTATTCTGGTAAATTTAGGACTTTATTCTGGTAATTTTAAGGCTTTATTGTGTTAATTTTAGGACTTTATTCTGGTAATTTTAAGGCTTTATTCTGGTAATTTTAGGACTTTATTCTGGTAAATTTAGGACTTTATTCTGGTGATTTTAAGGCTTTATTCTGGTCATTCTAAGGCTTTATTCTGGTAATTTTAAGGCTTTACTCTGGTAATTTTTGGACTTTATTCTGGTAACTTTAAGGCTTTATTCTGGTAAATTTAGGACTTTATTCTGGAAATTTTAAGGCTTTGTTCTGGTCATTCTAAGGCTTTATTCTGGTAAATTTAGGACTTTATTCTGGTAATTTTAAGGCTTTATTCTGGTAAATTTAGGACTTTATTCTGGTCATTTTAAGGCTTTATTCTAGTCATTTTAAGGCTTTTGTAGTGGCAATTGTTTGTCAAACCAAACATCCAATTAAGTTCCAATAAGCCACTATAGGCACTGGGGTCACGTTTTCTTGACGCAGGCAAAAGAAGTGGAAGTCCAAACTTGTAGATGTTTAGTTGATTTATTTCCTATATTTTGTCACATTACAGAGTTCAAACTTTCCTTGCCCTGTTACCTCTCTTGCACTGGTAAAAACCCATAGGCCCCTAACCCAAATGCCTGCTGGTCCTTACCAGGCTCCTACAATTATAGAAAGTGGACCGCCCACATTTCTTCCTGTTTTACATAAAATAAGGAAAAATAATAAAACAACAAAAAATAGATGCACAAAAATGCAACAATTAACCTATAAATTAAGTCTGTAAATAATACAAAAAATATATAAGTTTAGGAATTAACACAATTCAAATGGATAAAGAAATAAAGAATAAATAGCTCCAACAGCTTTATTCTGGTAAATTTAGGACTTTATTCTGGTAATTTTAAGGCTTTATTCTGGCCATTCTAAGGCTTTATTCTGGTAATTTTAGAACTTTATTCTGGTAATTTTAAGGCTTATTCTGGTCATTTTAGGACTTTATTCTGGTAATTTTAGGGCTTTATTCTGGTAATTTTAGGGCTTTATTCTTGTAATTTTAGGACTTTATTCTGGTCATTTTAAGGCTTTATTCTGGTAAATTTAGGACTTTATTCTGGTCATTTTAAGGCTTTATTCTGGTAAATTTAGGACTTTATTCTGGAAATTTTAAGGCTTTATATTGGTCATTCTAAGGCTTTATTCTGGTAAATTTAGGACTTTATTCTGGTAATTTTAAGGCTTTATTCTGGTAAATTTAGGACTTTATTCTGGTAATTTTAAGGCTTTATTGTGTTAATTTTAGGACTTTATTCTGGTAATTTTAAGGCTTTATTCTGGTAATTTTAGGACTTTATTCTGGTAAATTTAGGACTTTATTCTGGTGATTTTAAGGCTTTATTCTGGTCATTCTAAGGCTTTATTCTGGTAATTTTAAGGCTTTACTCTGGTAATTTTTGGACTTTATTCTGGTAACTTTAAGGCTTTATTCTGGTAAATTTAGGACTTTATTCTGGAAATTTTAAGGCTTTGTTCTGGTCATTCTAAGGCTTTATTCTGGTAAATTTAGGACTTTATTCTGGTAATTTTAAGGCTTTATTCTGGTAAATTTAGGACTTTATTCTGGTCATTTTAAGGCTTTATTCTAGTCATTTTAAGGCTTTTGTAGTGGCAATTGTTTGTCAAACCAAACATCCAATTAAGTTCCAATAAGCCACTATAGGCACTGGGGTCACGTTTTCTTGACGCAGGCAAAAGAAGTGGAAGTCCAAACTTGTAGATGTTTAGTTGATTTATTTCCTATATTTTGTCACATTACAGAGTTCAAACTTTCCTTGCCCTGTTACCTCTCTTGCACTGGTAAAAACCCATAGGCCCCTAACCCAAATGCCTGCTGGTCCTTACCAGGCTCCTACAATTATAGAAAGTGGACCGCCCACATTTCTTCCTGTTTTACATAAAATAAGGAAAAATAATAAAACAACAAAAAATAGATGCACAAAAATGCAACAATTAACCTATAAATTAAGTCTGTAAATAATACAAAAAATATATAAGTTTAGGAATTAACACAATTCAAATGGATAAAGAAATAAAGAATAAATAGCTCCAACACTCCGGCCCCTAATTGTGAATACTGTCACAATTACAAATGAAGAAAAAGGAGCTATTCCCTCAAACATGTCCTTAATTCTTCAGGTTGATGCTTCCAGTAGCAAAACAAGTTTGGTCACGGGTCTTTCGAGAACACTGGTCTTTGTTTGTAATCGCACAGAGCGGACCAAGCCTTTTGCATCCTGGTTTACACTCAAGACCTTGGCCATCATCCATGTTCCTCTTGGAGCTGTAGAGTCTGCAATTAAGACAACATCTCCAGGAGTGAGACATCGTTTAGTTCTTGTCCATTTTTGTCTTTCCTGCATCAGAGGTAAGTACTCAGAAAGCCATCTTTTCCAGAACAGCTCTGCCATGTATTGCACCTGTTTCCACCTTTTCCTGACAAAAAGATCCTTTTGATTGAACAATCCTGGTGGCAAAACTGGTTTGGTTTTTAACAACAACAAATGGTTGGATGTTAGTGCCTCAAGATCATTTGAGTCATCGGAAACTTTAGTGATGGGTCTGTCGTTTAATATGGCTTCAACTTCACAAAAAATTGTTTGAAGCCCTTCATCATCCAAAACTTGCTCTTTAAGAACTGAAACCAAAATACTTCTTATGGAACGAATCAGACGCTCCCAAACTCCACCTTGGTGAGATGCTGCTGGGATGTTAAAGTTCCATTTAATTCCATCCTGCACAAAAGCATTTTGAATTTTAGCATGATTCAGTTCAGCTAAACTCTCTTTCAGCTCTCGATTTGCACCAACAAAATTTGTGGCATTGTCTGATCTGATGGTGGAAACTGGGCCTCTTCTACAGATGAACCTGCGGACTGCATTTATACAGGAATCTGTATCGAGGGTGTAGGCCATTTCCAGATGCACTGCACGGCTGGTGAAACAAGTGAACAGAACTCCATACCTTTTCAGGAGGCTTCGTCCTCTTTTAACACTTACAGGACCAAAGTAATCCACTCCAACATTTGTAAAAGGAGCGGTGGCTGGCAGGACTCTTTCTTCTGGCAGATCTGCCATCTTTTGTTCAATAAACTTTCCTCTGTTACACCTGCAAACAACACAGTGAGAAATGATTTTTCTGGCAGCTGAATTAGCATTTATTATCCAGTATTTTTGTCTTAATCTTGACAGCATATGAGCTCTTCCTGCATGTCCCAACTGTTGATGAATATGGCGTAAAATCAGTGTAGACACATGCATATCCTTTGTCAAAATTGCAGGATGCTTTGTTTCGACAGGCATGGCTGATTTATTCAACCTGCCACCCACTCTGAGGACTCCAGCATCCAATACTGGGTCGAGTTTGTATAAAGAACTTCTCTTAGAGACTGCTTTAAGGCCACTGGTGATTAAAGCCAGTTCAGTTGTAAATTTCTGTTGTTGTGCAAACTGAATAATGGCTAGTTCTGCCTTGGCCAAGTCTTCAGGAGTCAGATTTTCTTTCTTCAGAGTGGTCTTGAATCTGTCTATCTGCTTGTCTAGGGCTTTGTTTTGCTTTTCTGGTTCATTTTTATTTAGGTCTGCAGCAGCAAACTCCTTCCTTTTCTGTTGCAACAGCATCAGAATGTTTTTCAGCTTTAAAAACCAGGCAACAGAGGTTTTAAGCTTTGTCCAAGATGAAAAATAATGAATCAGATAGCTTGTAGGATTTTGTGACTCCTTTACAAGAACACTCACGGCTAGGTCCCTTTTGACCTCTGGGTCATCTGCAGGAATTGCATGGTGATCCACATCCAGTTTAGGCCATTC